AGGCGGGGCATTGCTCTCTGATGACTCGAGGAGTCGGCTCCATGCCAGCGGAAGCAGCGGTACCGGTGCATCCCCAATTCACGGGGTACAAGGCTTCATCTGAATGGAGGAGGGAAGATCCGGAACGCTGGCTCCTCCCCTGGTCCATTCATAGAAAACCTTATATTGTGAATAGACGGGGGTGGGGGAGGGGGAGTGACTCCGTCCTTCACTGGAAGCCGCTGAGCCAGAAGATCAAAGCCGACAGTAATTCCAGAATCATTACAATGGAGATTTTTTGCATCCCCAGCATCCCCCCGGACGTGGAATTCCGACCATTAGAGGTAACTAAGCTTTTCCCGGGAGTTCCGCTTCAATTATCATCATTAGGACCCAGAGGGCGAGGAGTAAAAACCGTCACCGTCCCCACTCCATTCAGAATGAAAGAAAGGTTCGGCTTCAGATATACTCCGCCTCTACGTCTTCTCTATACAGACTGTGTACACCGGGACTCCCCTACCCCACACTCACCTACTCTGTCCTCCTCTGTCCTCTCCGCAGACCTCTGGCCTCCACCGTGAATGATCGACTCAGTCTACAAGACTGCCTGGAGCACGGCAGGATAGCAAAGGTGAGAGGTCACCAATCATATTCCGGGGGGAGAAATAGGCGGCTGCACACCAATTATCACACGTTTATGTATATAGGCCCCCTTCACATATATAGGGCTCCCTTCACATATATAGGGCCCCCTTCACATATATAGGGCCCCCTTCACATATATAGGGCCCCCTTCACATATATAGGGCCCCCTTCACATGCACTATATGGCCATTGGTATTGGGACGCCTTTACACGCACATGAACTTTAGTGGCCCCTAGTCTTAGTCCGTAGGGTTCAGTATTGGGTTGGCTCCGCCCTCTAATGACATCCCAGTCTTAGTCCGTAGGGTTCAGTATTGGGTTAGCTCCGCCCTCTAATGGCCCCCAAGTCTTAGTCCGTAGGGTTCAGTATTCGGTTGGCTCCGCCCTCTAATGGCATCCCAGTCTTAGTCCGTAGGGATCAGTATTGGGTTTGGGTCCGCCCTCTAATGGCATCCCAGTCTTAGTCCGTAGGGTTCAGTATTGGGTTGGCTCCGCCCTTTATTGGCATCCCAGTCTTAGTCCATAGGGTTCAGTATTGGGTTGGCTCCGCCCTTTATTGGCACCCCAGTCTTAGTCCGTAGGGTTCAGTATTGGGTTGGCTCCGCCCTTTGGCGCTATAACAGCTCCGCCTCTTCTGGGAAGGCGTCCACAAGGTTTAGGGGTGTGTCTATGGGAATGTTGGACCATTTGTGAGGTCAGGTACAGATGTTGGGGGAGGGGCTCGCAGTCTCCGCCTCTAATTCATCCCAAATGTGTTCTATGGGGTTGAGGTCAGGACTCTGTGCGGCCAGTCACGTTCCTCCCCCCCAAACTCCCCCATCCAGGTCTTTATGGACCTTGCTTTGTGCACTGGTGCGC